TGTTCCTCAATTAAGGAGGACAATTATAATAAAATACTACATCAGATAAAAAAAGATTTAGAAAATTGGGAAAATTTGCAAATTTATTTTTAGGGAGGATCACTACGGTCAAAATAAATGTATTGCCAAAAATATTATTTCTGTTTCCATTATTAAAACATCAGCTGATGGTAATTTTTTTTGTTCCCAAAACTTTAAATTCACTGAAGTCCATGGTGTTGTGGTCTCCTCATGGGGACCTCCTCTCTGGAGTGCTTATGGGCAATCCCAAGTCCTCTCCTTTTCAGGAAAGGGATTCCAACTAGTTGAGATCCATTTGGTGGCTTTTTCTTAATATGCTAATTGCTCATCTAGTTCCTCAACCATATGCTTTCAGAAAACTCAGAAACCATGATGAGGGGGTGGGATCCCTCTTCTGTTTTCACTCCCAAGCAACTGATATCCAGAGGATGCTACTTCTGATCTGGAAGAAGCACAAATTCATCAAGACCAGTAGCTATCCATAGCTTGGTCCTCCATGAATCTGTCAAATCCCTCTTTTAAATGTTGGTGGCTACTGCCTTCTCTAGAATTCATTATTCCAGTATACTTCAAGTAGTTTAACTTGAACTGAGCACAAATTATAGAAAGGCATAGCTGGATAAAGCATCCTTCTTCCAAAAGAATCAGGGAGGGGGATGGGGGTCCTCCAACTCGGGTGCTTGCTCATTATATAGATTGTTCAGCCACTCGGATGCTTCTCCTTCCAAGCTGGATGCAACCACGTCAACCATAGCAGCTGGTTCAGCTAGAAATAGGCACAGCGGTAAGCCTCCCAGCGGTTGTTGCAGCAGATCAGCTGTCCTCACAGCTTGGGCCTTGTCCCCAATGAGAGGCCTGAAAAGTTCCTTCTCAACCGGCGCGCTGGCTTGCACTCCCCCCTCTGGGGTAGCAACCACTACTGGGGTGCTGGTTTCAGGCGCTCTTCCTTTCTCTTTGTTGAAATCTTCCCTGAATCATTATTGGTCTATCCCTTAATTCTAGGGATAGCGACTGGGGCTTGGGACCCCAAGATAGTTAGGTAAAAATTGTAGTTTTTGGCTTAATGTCATGGTTCCGACAGATGAAACTCTTCAAAAGAACTTGAAGGCATTGTTTACCTTAAAGAATTTTTTATTTGAGAAACAAAGTATCGCCATTACATAATTAAAGCCAAAAACTGAATTCCCCTCCCCTGGGCACAAAGTAGCAAAGCACAATTCCCTCCTCCAATTAACAGTCATAAATCACATTCATCAATTAGGTTGAAGCGAGGGCTTTATCCCCAGCTCTCCAGCCCGCCAATCTTTCTCAGCTCTGGGCACAATAACCTTGGATTTCCACAGCTGAGTTATTATTGTTATGGCTAACTGGACTCTCATCCGCATCCTCCTCCCAGCATCAACTAATTCTAAAAGCGAAAGAGAAAAATGGCTGCATTTCCATCTGTTGTCAAAGCAAGAACATCCGATGTTAGCAGCGTTGACACTTGGCTTATTGATTTCCTGACACCATGGCAGACTTATCTCTTCTTCCCTCCAAATGGCTAACAGACATCTCCAGAAGGCCAGTGTCATTGTAAAATCGCTCAAGTAATGACAAAGGGAAAAATTGGCAAGGTAGCTCGGCATCGTGACCAATCCGGCGGCTTCAAGCCACTGATGAGCACTGCTGATCTTTGGCCTCATGGAGATACATCAGCTGCCCATTTTAGCCCTGATGGCATATTCCATCTGCATTCCCAAAGCCCAGATATTTCTCTGGCCTTTTGAATGACAGTTAGATGAGGATATCTATCCAAGCAGAAAGCCCCCCTGAGCAAGTGTTGGGGAGAAAGGATATTACATGAGATTAATCTCCACTGATGGTCTAAGCAAAAGACTGTTGACGTTTTGAACTGAATTGGCCCGCTCCTGACTCTCTTTGTCAGATGCACTGATTTAGAAGATAGAGTAGTAGCTGTCTTTAGGCAGAATAAGAGATTTCAGAATGCAAGTTAATGCAGTAAGACTGTCTATAATATACAGATAGTCCTCCACTTGCCACCACAATCGAGAAGCCAATTTCTGTTTTTAAACAAGACAGGGATGATAAAATAACGCTGTTTTTCCTCTTTTCACTATCCCACAGCCTGGTAGAATCAAAGTCCTGTTTATTATAATAGACTAGAAGGGAACAGATTTTAAGGTAGCATTTTCCAGCACAGAAAATATTGTAATCAATCTCAGCAATCTTTACAATGCAATACAGGTAATCTATACTTTCTTCTATTCTATTCTATTCTATTCTATTCTATTCTATTCTATTCTATTCTATTCTATTCTATTCTATTCTATTCTATTCCTTATTCTATTCTATTCTATTCTATATCCCGTATTGTAGCTTAGAAAATTTGAGCTCATCTCCAGTCTAATGACCATCTAAAGACCATCTCATTCAATCAGAAGCAAAAAAAAAAAAAGTGGCCATGCTCATATGAGATGATCTTAAGCAGGGGGCCTCCAAACTTGGCAATTTTAAGATTTATGGACTTCAGGTCCCAGAATTCTGTGGTTGGCTGGGGAATTCTGGGAGTTGAAGTCCACAAGTCTTCAAGTTGCCAAGTTTGGAGACTCCTGTTCTTAAGCAAACCTGATCCATTAATGTGGTGTAGTGGAGAAGAAGTTGGGCTAAGATAGAGGGAGACCAATTCATGTCCATCCTCATGCTGGAGTCTAGAGTCCTTATTTTTTTCCTCTCGGCACGGTCTATCTCACAGGCCTATTTTCATGGAAATGAAATGTAGGATGATTCCTAGGTAGTTTCTTTTGCGATCTTGGAAAAAAGGCAGACTGGAAATCTAAACAGCTTAATTAATCTCCTTGTCACTGCACCACATTTATTCTTCAACTGAGCAAGGTGACTGGAAATATGAAAACCCATTTACAGAAAGAAGAAAGAATCAGTGTACTTCAGTGGCAGATTATTAAACTGAGAGAGAGAGAGAGAGGGAGAGGAACGAGAGGGGGAGAGGAAAGAGAGAAAGAGAAAAAGAGAGAGAGAGAGGGAGAGAGAGAGGGAGGGGAAAGAGATTCGGTTTAAGTCTATGCTAATTGGCTGATTTGGAGCTGCTCACAATATTTCAGCTTAATCTATCCCACTGTTGTAGGGATTTGATGGAGGATGACATATGATGAAGGCTATCGTGAATTCTTGAATAAATGCAGAACTATTGGATGCATTTCCACAATACACTTAACAAAATCAGCTAAAGATCTAGCTGCTAAATTAAGTTTGGTTAGATCTAACCTTTCAATTAGTTTTAATCTTTGTGAGTTTGGTTCGTTTATGAGGCAACCCACTGTGCAATTCCTCCAAATGTATTAACATCAACCGATCCATAAGGGTAGCTATCTTCTCCTTCTACAATCTCCGATTTTATCAACATCATCATTTCTATACTCTTTTGAAAGTACAGGTAGCAATAGCAATAGACTTATATACAGCCCCATAGCACTTCACAGCACTATCTGGGCAATTTACAATGTCAGCATTATTTGCATATTGTTCCCCAAACCATCAGGGTCCTGATTTTACCAACCTCAGAAGGATGGTAGGCTGAGTCAACGTTGAGCCTCGTCAGGACTGAACTCTAGACTGTGGGCAGAGTTTGCCAGAAAAACTGCATTTAACCACTGCACCACGAGAGCTCCACCACAGCTCACAATTGTTTGTTTAGTGATAGTTCAAACTCACAACAGCACCAAAAAAGTGATTTACAATTGGTCCTCACACTTATGACTGCCACAGTACCCTACAGCCCCCGAGGTGGCGCAGTAGTTAGAGTGCAGTACTGCAGGCCACTTTAGCTGACTGTGTTCAGCAAGTCAGCGGTTCAAATCTCACCGGCTCAAAGTTGACTCAGCCTTCCATCCTTCCGGGGTAGGTAAAATGAGGACCCAGATTGTTGGGGGCAATGTAAATATATATATACATTGCTTACTGGTGTACACCGCTTAGAGAGTGCTTGCACTTAAAGCGGTATATAAGTCTCATAAATAAATAAATAAATCAGAATCCAGGCACTTAGCAATTGGCATATATTTTTGAAGAGTGCAACATCCCGGGGTTATACGATAGTCATCGGTGACTTCCCAACCAGCTTCCGACTAGCAAAATCAACAGGGGAAGCCAGATTCACATAACAAGCTCATGAGTGGCCTAAGGACTGCAATGGTTCACTTAGCAACTGTGGCAAAAAAATGTTCATAGAGTTGGACGTGACTCACTTAACGACCCTCTTGCTTAGCAATGGAAATTCTATTTCCAACTGTGTCCCTACACTGAGACTATCCGCAAAGAATTGTATATGAGGGATCCTTGGCACTCTACGAGGTTGGTTATTTTCTTGCAACCAGCACTCATGATGTTACCTGGTTTGGGTCATGAAACATCTGCAAGAAAACAGTCAAACTCAGAGCACATCAAAGGCCCCACAATTCTCCTCCTCCTCCTCCTCCTCCTCCTCCTCCTCCTCCCTTCTAGCACTGCTGATGTTATCTAGTTTGGGTAATGATTCATCTGCAAGAAAACAACTAAGCTCAGAGAACACTTAGGACTCCTTATAAAGTATTCTTCTTTATAAGAATTGTATATGAAGAGTTTGTTAAGCTTAAGGCCACTATATACATTAAATCTCTCTCTAAATACAGAACTCTCCCTCCCTCCCTCTTTCTCCCCCCCTGGTGTGTGTGTGTGGGGGGTTTGGGGGAGTGTCTGAAAAGTTCCTATCCCACTTCCCACCCTCTGCCAATTCCCACAAATTGTCTGCCCTAGTACCGCCATTAAGACGTACTAACAACTGTCACCATCTGAGAACACAGCAAATGAGTTGCACATCAGCTGCATAAAACCAACATGTCTGCTAGCTCCAGAGACACACACATCCAACTGAATGCCTAAGTCACAGGCAAATGGAAGAGACACCAATGTGTTGAACTCACTGCTATCAGCTGGTAGGAGTTGTTCATCATGGCAATGAGCATGTTTAGCAAAACCACCAAGGAGATGACGTTGTAAGTGCCAAACATGGTTGCCCCAACGAATTCTGTGAATTCATGCCTGGCTTTGACGTTCGTGACGTAGAGGTTCAACAGACCAAACACCGACCAGAAGAGAGACTGGAGAGTTTCAAAGAGTCTGCAAAAAAACAAAACAAAAGATAAGTAATTGTCTTAATAGATTTGATTGAGTCTAGGTAGGAGAACAGATATATCATTTATCTTTCTCATGAGCTGGTACATTGAAAGGTTTTTATGCTTACATCTTTCTATTTCCCAGCTAGTCTAGTTTCCTGTATACTTTCAGCTCATCTCTGATATAGAACCATAAGACTGGCAAGGACCTTGGAGGTCTTCTAGCCCAACCCTTTGCCCAACACAGCAGACCTTATTCCATTCTGGACAAATGGTTGCCCAATCTTTTCTTGAAAACCTCCAGTGATGGAGCACCTGCAACTGAGAGGCCAGCTCTGTTCCATTAATTGATCACTGTCAAGAAATTCCTCCTTAATTCCAGGTTAGATATCTCTTTAACAAGCTTCCACTCCTTACTTCTTGTCCTTCTGGTGCTTTGGAGAAAAAATCAGCCCCCTCCTCCCTGTGACAGCCCCTCAAGCACCAGAAGACAGCTATCATGTTTCTCCTAATCTTTGTTAGGTTAAAGAGGCTGTGGTGGCACAGTGGTTAGAATGCAGTATTACAGGCTAACTCTGCCCACAGTCTGGAGTTCGATCTTGACACAGTCAAGATTAATTCAGCCTTCCCTCCTTCCAAGGTCAGTAAAATAAGGACCCAGATTTTGGGGTGCAAACATGCTGACTCTGTAAACCACTTAGAGAGGGCCGCAAAGCGTTGTGAAACAGTATATAAGTCTTATTGCTATTTCTATTGCTAAATGCTACCTTCTTGGCTAGAGCCCAATGCTCAATTCTGTCAACATTCTTCTGAATCTTGAGTGAATCATGTGAGATTTCTCCCTTGGCATTTGAAAAACCAGGACACAGATTCAGAGAAGCCTCTGAGCATTTTTCTCATGTGAATATATTTCTGGAAGTCTATAGGAGACAGTCTACATCTGTTAAGCTGGCAAAGAAGCTAAACCTGAAGGGAGAAAGGAGGAAAACTAATATCAAAATGCAGCTGCTTTCTAAAGATATCTTTTGACAGCAGAGCTGTTTTCTACTTTCTAGTGTCTGCAGCAAAATCCATTCCAGCTCTCACTCAAAGAACACTATATGATGAGAGACTCTCTCTTCCTATTATAGGCACTACAAAAATTGAGGAGGGAGAGAGGAGAGAAAAAGAAGTGTGAATTTGAGAAGTGCATTCTGCTATTCACATGCAAACTCTTCTAGAAATGGGGAATATTTTTTTTCCAAATGGAAAATGCTTGTCCACGCTTCTTCCCTTTTGCATCCTCTACTGCAGTGGTTCTTAACCTGGGCGATATTGCCCCCCAGGGGGCGATTTCATTTTTCAGGGGGGCGATGGAACGAAAAGGGATGACACGGGGGCGAAGGAACAAAAAGGAGGCGATATGGGGGCGATAGAGCGAGAAGTTTTGGGGACACTTTTGAGACTTTTTCGTGCAGTGAATCGCTGTATATCTGTCGTACGAAAACATCAGATCGCTCGCTATTAGTGGACTGAATTGTGTTTTCAAATGTTCCTCCAGCTAGCTTCAGTACAGAACGCCGTACATATGTGAAGATGCATTGCTTATCTTCATGCGCATTGCACAGCAGCCTCTACCCATACAGTGGCGCGCCATTGGCCAGAATATGGGAGATATGGGGAAAAGACTGGAAATAAATTATTTGCATTGATATGTCCTGATGAACAATTTTAAAGAAAACAAAAAAAGTGTTTGCATAAATTGAAGAATTGTTTCCTAAGTTGTGATTGAGAGGTTATGTTGGGGGAGGGGGGCGATGACAACTTCCTCATTGGCTCAAGGGGGCGATTCGTTCAAAAAGGTTAAGAACCACTGGTCTACTGCATTATTCCTTTCCATTTACAAAGATCATTTAAACCAATCGCCACCAGTTGATGCCATCTAGTGTGCTTGGACCACAATCCCTAAATTGTCTCAGAATGATTTAGCACCATCCTTAACGTCAATAATGAAGATATTTCTCTCGATACTCTGCCAGTCCAAATATATGAAAGCCAAGTACAAATAGTCCTCAACGTATGGCCATCCCATTAATGATTGTTTGAAACTATGACCACACTGAAGAAAATGACTTGTAGTTGATCCTTGGACTTACGACTGTCATAGCATCCCTAAGGTGATGTAAGGCGAGACCCGGCTTAAAAACAGCAACTGTGAGAGGGACCTTGGAGTCCTAGTGGACGATCACTTGGCTATGAGCCAGCAATGTGCAGCAGCAACCAAAAAAGCTAATACAATCCTGGGTTGTATAAACAGAAGCATAGAATCAAGATCATGAGAAGTATTAGTACTGCTTTATAAAACCCTAGTAAAACCACACCTGGAATACTGCAGCCAATTTTGGTCACCATATCACAAAAAAGATGTTGAGAGTTTGGAAAAAGTTCAGAGAAGAGCAGCTAAGATGATCAAAGGCCTGGAGACTAAAACATACGAAGAATGGCTGCGGGACTTGGGTTTGGCTAGTCTAAAGAAAAGAAGAAATAGGGGAGACATGATAGCAGTGTTCCAGTATCTGAGGGGCTGCCACAAGGCAGAAGGGTTCAGGTTGTTCACCAAAGCACCAGAGGGAAGGACCAGAAACAATGGTTGGAAACTGATCAAGGAGAGAAGCAACCCGGAATTAAGGAGAAACTTCCTGACAGTGAGGACAATCAACCAGTAGAAGAGCTTGCCTCCAGAAATCGTGGGCGCTCCATCACTGGAGATTTTTAAGACGAGGCTAGACAATCACCTGTCTGAAATAGTATAGGTTCTCCTGCTTGAGCAGGGGGCTGGACTAGAAGACCTCCAAGGTCCCTTCCAGCTCTATTCTATTCTAATCAGAATTTGGGCACCTGGGGATCAGCATGTATTTACGAAGAGTTGCAGTGTCCCAGAGTCATGGGAATGCCATTTGCAACCTGCCCAAGGAGCTTCCAACGAGCAAAGTCAACAGGGAAGTCAGATGGGCTTAAAGATCCTGTGATTCATCTACTGACTATGGCAGAAAAGGTCCTAAAATAAAATCATTGCTTAGCGATGTTTATGGAGGTTCTCAGTCCTTTAGGTCCTGGTTGTCCCAAAGGTGCTTTTTCAAAAGGCAAGTGGACTTTCTTGGTTTTTCCTTGAAGACGTTTCGCTTCTCATCCAAGAAGCTTCTTCAGTTCTCAGAAAGTCCAGCTGACTAAGCTTTATGACTATTGCTATTATTAGTGATTATAACTGTTTTAGTATTATATTAATTACCACCATTTAATATTTGTACCTGGACGATAGTCTGCTTGCTAAAGCGTTGAATTTTTGTTGGGGGTAACCCCACTACTGTACCTATCCCTACCCTCATCCCAACTCCATTCCCCAACCTCATCCAATATCCATACCGATCTTACCCCTTCCCTACCTTTATAAAACTTAATAAAATATTTATAAAAAAAATAAAAAGAAAGAGAGTCCAGTTGCCTTTTGAAAAAGCACCTTTGGGAATGCTTAGCGATGGACGTTCCTGTCCAAATGGTGGTCTTAAGTCAAGGACTATCTGTAAGGAAGTCTCCATTTGATGCAAAGGATAGACAGCCGGTTTGATCTAGTGGTGAAGGCCCCAGGCTACAAAGCAGGAGACCCTGAGTTCGTGTCCCGCCTTAGGCATGAAAGCCAGCAGGGCGACTCGGGCCAGGCCCCCTCTCTCGGCCCGACTCACCGGGCTGTTGCTGAAGGGAAAAAAGGAGGAGGAGGAAAGTGTGTCAGATAGCTTTGCCGGCTTGAATTATTTGTAAAAGTAATAAGGCAGGATACAAATAAAATAAAATAAAATAAAATAAAATAAAATAAATAAAATAATAACATAAAATATAAAATAAAATATAAAATAAAATAATAAAATAAAATATAATATAAAATAAAATAATAAAATAATAAAATGAAATGAAATGAAATAATAAAATAAAATAATAAAATAAAATAAAAAATAAAATAAAATAATAAAATATAATATAATATAAAATAAAATAATAAAATAATAAAATAATAAAATGAAATGAAATAAAATAATAAAATAAAATAAAAATAAAATAAAATAAAAAATAAAATATAAAATATAAAATAAAATAAAATATAAAATAAAATAAAAAATAAAATAATAAAAAATAAAATAAATATAATATAAAATAATTAAAAATGAAATAAATAATAATTAAATTAAATTATAATAAAATGGCAACCCAGGGTAAGTCCTGGGCTGCATAACTCTTTATAGAGAAATCTCTCATCATCTGCTGAATAACTGGAGTTCTTTGCAACTGAGAATTGTCTAGCTATCTGCAATCTGCCATAGTTCTTGAGTCCAAATTCTCCCCAAAATATATTTGTAATTAGCTCAAACCTGGACGCCGTATTAAGACCTTTTTGCACATGGTCATTTGTGGACAAGATGTTCTTAGCCAGGAGACAGAAGTCTGAACATCTTTCCCAGATTCATTCTTTTATTATCCCTGTCAACCAAAGTCATGATAAGAAGGACTAACTAAATTTGCTAATGGTTACAAACACTAAATGAAATTATTTATTGTGGATATGTAAGGACAAAGAACAGGCTGGTTGACACATTCTGAGCCAACAGAGAGAAACTTAATGAAGTCCATAATAGAGTATCGTCCAACAGAAAAAGGTTGGGCAAGTCCAAAGTAGGCGACAAAAAGAATGCTTTAAACTGTGCTGGGACAACTGGTAACAGCAGTGAGAATTAATGAGTCTGCAGGGCTTTGGAGATTATCTGCACTAGGACTTGAGCTGTCTCATCTTGTTGGCAAGATCACAATTTGTTTTCTGGCTTTATTTGAGAGAAAAAAAACATTCGTTCTTTCTCTTGGGAGACAGACACAGGCTGTCTGCCTATCTGGTCTTCAGCTGAGGTATTAAGTTGCTCAAACAGAGACGAAGTAAACAGTTGGGGGGAAAAATAGAGACTCTCTTCTCCCTTGGTTGCT